ATGTATTTGACCCTTCCTCCATTTCGCTCGTCTGTTTTGAAACCACGTTTTAACCTGTGGATAAAATAATTGAGTGTATAAGTGATCTATTTCTTACTATCTATCTCTTTATGTGTGTCTGTTTAAGTTTGCGTGTGTATGTATTTAGCAATTCAGATCTGTTTGTCTGCTTTCTGTAGACAATAGCTTTTTCTTCTGTTTCTCTATCATTCTCCGTCTCTGCCTGTCTGTCTGTCTGTCTGTCTGTCTGTCTCTCTTTTCTCTCTCTTCTCTCTCTCTCTCTCTCTCTCTCTCTCTCTCTCTCTCTCTCTCTCTCTCTCTCTCTCTCTCTCTCTCTTTCTCTCTTTCTCTCTTTCTCTCTCTCTCTCTCTCTCTCTCTCTCTCTCTCTCTCTCTCTCTCTCTTTCTCTCTTTAACTCTCTTTAACTCTCTCTCTCTCTCTCTCTCTCTCTCTCTCTCTCTCTCTCTCTCTCTCTCTCTCTCTCTCTCTCTCTCTCTGTATCTCTCTCTCTTTCTCTCTCTCTCTCTCTCTCTTTCTCTCTCTCTCTCTCTCTCTCTCTCGCTCTCTCTCTCTCTCTCTCTCTCTCTCTCTCTCTCTCTCTCTCTCTCTCTCTCTCTCTCTCTCTCTCTCTCTCTGCATGTGCGCCTGTGTGTGTGTGTGTGTACGTACATATACTGAAATGAATAAGTAAATATATACATATCAACCAACCGCTCTACCAATTCATCCATCCATCCATTTATCTATCCTTGTCTTCGGATAACCAGAATATTCATTATCTGAAGGGAAGAGGAGGAAGATTTTTTCTTTCTTTTTTTTGTAATTTTTTGTAACATCTCATTATATGCTTTCCGTTCGTTAGTGTGTATTCGTGTGAGATATGATATTTATTTGTGTCTCTTGTCTTGGATTGACCACTCTATTTTTTTTTTTTCTTAATTTCTGTTTGTTGTTTGATTGAGGTCGTTTTGGTGTGTCTGTCTGTCTGTTTGGGTGGTTGGTTGTTGTTTTGTCGGTCTTTCTGTCTCTCTCTTTTTTTCTTTCTCTTTATCTCTCTCTCTCTCTCTCTCTCTCTCTCTCCTCTCTCTCTCTCTCTCTCTCTCTCTCTCTCTCTCTATCTATCTATCTATCTCTATCTATCTATCTATCTTCCCTTCTTCGCAGCCATGTCCCTCTCTCTCTCTCCCTTCCTCCTCCTCCCTCTCTCTTCCCCCCCCCCCTCCCCTTCCCGTCCCCTCCCCCCTCTCCCTTCCCCCTTCCTCTTCCCTTCCCCTCCCCCCCTCTCCCTTCCCCCTTCCCCTCTCCCTTCCCCCTCTCCCTTCCCCACCCTCCTCCCCTTTCCCCCCTTCCCCTCTCCCTTCCCCATTCCCCTCTCCCTTCCCCATTCCCCCTCCGCCATTCCCCTCTCCCCCTCTCCCTTCCCCCTCCCCCCTTCCCCTCTCCCTTCCCCACCCTCCTCCCCTCTTCCCCCCTTCCCCCCTCCTCACCTGTCTTTCTTGCAGACTAAGATCCCTAGCAATGGTCTTGCGCAGCTGAGGCGTGATGTACTTGTGCTTGGCGAACCAGGCCTCCAGCTGCCTCGTCTGTTCTCCTGTGAACCGCACTTGCCCGCCCCTTCGCCGCGACCTGTTCATGGCCGGGTGTGGGTAGGCGAAGGTGGCTGTTCAAGGGAAATGGAAAAAAAAGGTGTTAGGGGTGGAATGCTGTTCAAGGGAAATGGAAAAAAAAGTATTAGGGGTGGAATGCTGTTCAAGGGAAATGGAAAAAAGGTATTAGGGGTGGAATGCTGGTCAAGGGAAATGGAAAAAAGGTGTTGTGGTGGAAAGCTGCTCAAGGGAAACGAAAAAGGTGGTGTTTGTGGACATGCTGGCCAAGGGAAACGAAAAAGGTGGTGTTTGTGGACATGCTGTTCAAGGGAAATGGAAAAAAGGTATTAGGGGTGGAATGCTGGTCAAGGGAAATGGAAAAAAGGTGTTGTGGTGGAAAGCTGGTCAAGGGAAATGGAAAAAGGTGTTGTTTGTGGTGGAAAACAATGAAAAATGAGGTTAATGTACTGACCAAGGGAAATAAAGGTAACATTTAGAATTATTGCTTTTATTCGTCTAAAAGGTGATGGCGATAGTTGGAAGACTGGCCAAGAAATTGAGAAAAAAAGATTTATTGTCCCTCTTCGTGCAAATAGTGATGGTGGGAAACTGATCAATGGAATTTTCTGAAAAATTTTATTATTCCCATTCGAGTAAATGGTGATAGTGGTAGGTATTGTTTTGTTGTTGTTGTTTGTTGTTGCGATTGGTAGCGGCAGTGGTAGTGATATTGTTTATTGTTGTTATAATCAAAATTGTTTGACCTTGATAGAGCTGTGTTAATGTAATTGCTGTTATTATTATCGTTATATTTCTATTATCATCATTTTTGTTTATGCCATTATCTCATGGTTATTGTTCTTATCACCATTACTGTTAACACTGCATTTCCAATTATTACTATCGCAGTAACAGTACTATTATCAAATGCACACACACACACACACACATGTGTGTGTGTGTGTGTGTGTGTGCATGTGTGTGTGTGTGTGAGTGTGTGTGTGTGTGTGTGTGTGTGTGTGATGTGGTGTGTGTGTGTGTGTGTGTGTGTGTGTGTATGTGTGTGTGTGTGCGTGTGTGTGTGTGTGTATGTGTGTGTATGTGTGTGTGTGTGTGTGTGTGTGTGTATGTGTGTGTGTGTGTGTGCGTGTGTGTGCGTGTGTGTGTGTGTGTGCATGTGTGTATATATATTTCTGTATTCATTTATCTAAAGCACACAGAAAAGCTCCATGCCCACAAGAAAAAAAACAGCACCTGGGCAGAATAACGCCCGGGTGTCCCAAGCTCATACCTGACGTAAATTAATCAAATACCAGCTAGAGACTTTCCAGGAATACCAACTTTATATTGGAGGAAGAATTGTGGGTACTATTATAATTACTGTTATTATTTTGATACTATCATTATTGTTAGTTTATTATGATTATTATCACTATCATTATTATCATTATTATTATTGTAATTATCACCATTACTGTTATTATTATTATTGTTTTTGTTATTTTATTATTATTATTGTTATTATTATTATTATTATTAATAATAATTCCATTGTTTTTATCATTATTATCATCATCATCATTATCACCATCATTACTATTACTATTATTGCCATCATCATCGTCATTAACGTCTTAATAACCAGCTCTATGAGATCTGTTCACCGTATCTCTTTATATAACTTTTTATCAACCAAGATTGATAATATGTCTTTTCTTTACAATGAAAAGGATCGAATGGATATCGGAAAGCCAGATTAATTAGCATTTATATATTATCATATATAAGAATTAAAAAAAAAAAAACGAAATGGTGTTATTCTGAGTGTAAAGAGACAATTTCGAGTTTGTTTATTTGTTTTTTTGTTTGTTTGTTTTTTATGATAGGTATGGTTTGAATATGTAATGTCTTTGACGCAATTATTCAGGTTAGGGTTAAAGTGCCTTCAAGTCTAGGAAGATTTAATGAAGTTTTAGACTGTTACGTCATCGTAGTGTCAGTTAAATGAGTTATTGCACTTATGACTTTTTTTTTCTTTTTTTTAAGTGATGTTTTTAATTACATGAACAGAAACGAAAAAAATCATTACTATTTAATATGTTCTTGAGCATGAAACGAAGGCTCACTTCTCTTGTAAAACAGATTATACCAAACTGATAATAATAAAAAAAACTGACAAGAAGTTGTTTTGAATTTCAAAAAGGCGATTGTGTGAATAATCTTATCATTGTTCAAGAACAACGTATAAAAAAGTTAAGCTAAGTTACTTTTTTTAACTAATGCAACTCTCTTGCATTCCTGAAAGGCTGTCAAGTGATCAGAATCAATTCAAAATAATTACTGTAATTAAAAAATTGTTATTCTAACCACACGGAAGTTGCATACAGACATACTAGCAGATTTCTACTTTCTGATTAACTTATCAATTCTTAATTAAACAAACTTTCACAGATTATTTCTTCGACATGTTATCTATTACAGAAAAAAACTGCCGTCCAAAGCTATAAATATCATGGCTTCCAAAGTTATAATTATCATTGTTATTTTTATCATTTTGTTAACGTTATTGAACAAGTACTAGTATCGCCACCAGCAGCAACAGTAGTAATAATAGTAGTAGTAGTAGTAACGGTAGTACTAGTATTATCTTTATTATCATAACGATAACACCACCATTACCATTACTGTTATTAAGGCTTTCTGCCGTTTGTGCTATCATTGTTATTACTATTTTATTAACACTACCATTGCGATTTTTACATTGACATTATCGGTAAAGTGATCATATCAACAGCATCACTATTATTACCATCATCAATATCATCATGATTTTCACCATCACCGTTGTTAATATTATCATAATCGTCATCAGCCTCATCATTATTGTTATTAACACAGCTGTTATTGTTATAATCATCGTCGTCATAATATTTATCATCAAAGCCAATATCCTAATTATCATCATCATAATCAACTTTATCTTCATCCTAACTGATATCATATTCTTATTATTCATTATGTTATCTTTGGCCTTTTTTTTATTATACGCTTTATCGTTATCCCCTCCATTATCCTATATCTATCATCAATAATTCATTTTGTAAATATCGCAAGCGTTCTTATGTTCTTATAAAAAAAAATAATAACTTAGCCTATAATCCCTTTGAGATGCTTCCAAGTCGTAATCTGCTGTAATTCTGTATTTTATAACTATATTATCGAGCAATTGATATCAGTGATAATAACTATGGCTATTGATTGAAGCAGTTTCCAATCGTCGTTGCTGCTATTTACTTTTTTTTCTGATTTCGTTCTCTTCAATTGCTTCCTATTACTTCCTTCAAACTAATGCTATTGATTTATGTTGATGTCGCCATCCGTGATTATTAAAAATTATTGTGCTTAATGGCAATTTCTACTTTCCATTGTTCCCTTGAATAGGTCTCTGTATTATTGTTCCCGTGAATTTGTTCATATGGACAAAAAATGATAATCCTTACGAAAAGAGGTGTTTCGGCATTGTTGTTGTTTGTTATTACTATTTTCCCGGTCTCCGGATCAGCTCACCTGGGTCAAGGAGGGGAATCCCCAGAGGCAGGAACGCCCTCGGGGCAACGAGGCTCCTGTAGTGAGCCTCCAGGTACTGCCGAACCATCAGGCCGCAGACGTCTCCTCCGAGGTTGGGATCCAGGAGGCCGTATCCCCTGTCTCCTCCTCGTCCTCCTCCTCCGACGTTCGCTTCCAGAATGCCAAACGGCCTTTCTCCTCCTCTTCCTCCTCCGCCGTAGAGGAGATCGGGCCTCCATTCCGCCCTCAGGTGTTGCGGCGGCCTGAGGTGGGCGGAGGCCAACGCGGGCTCTACCAGGCTCTGCGTGGGCGGCCCGTGGAGCGTCGGCTTGGAGGCCTGAGCGAGGCGGACGGGCACGGGCCTCGCCACGGTGGAGGCCGGGGCGAGGGCGCGGGGGCCGTAGCCCGCCTGCTGGCCGTCCTCCTCCTCGTCCTTCCATTTTTCCTTGACCTCCGAGGACGGGGCCCTCGGCACGGCTGAAGGGGGAGACTGGTGGGGGTCTCTCCTCTCGTCGTCCCTTTCCCTCTTGACTTCCCGCGGCCGTTGGACGTCGCTCCACTTCGCGAGGCTGCTCCGCCCGATCCCTTCGTCTCGCCTTCTCACGCCCGTCGGGAGAGAGAGGTCGAGTGTCTGTGAGGCCGGAGAGGAAGGAGACGCGGGCGAGGTCCTGGTGGCGGCGGCGGAGAGCCCAAAGGGCGCCTCGTCTCCTGGAGCGACCGCCGGTGACTTTGCCTTCTGCCCCTCCGTCGTGCAGGACAGAATCTGGTCGATGGTGTACCGAGTAACCATCTTTACGGAATCTGAGCCACTTTTTTATATTTTTCTTAATACGTATCAATTGAGTGCGAAAAAGAGCACTTCGAAGATCTTTTTTTTTTTTTTTTTTTTTTTTGGAAATCCAGAAATATTAACCAAAAGAAGCAATGAATCCGTTATAGCTAATGACTTTGCAATCAAATGCTAGGATAATTTATAAAACAAAACTATTTCTTTCTAAAAGACCGGATAAGCGAAATCAAAACATCAACACGAATGCCCAGCTCTTCCAGAAAAAGTTCGCCTCCATTCGAAAAAGTCACTCAGTTCCACCAACGCCTTTTTCTCTTCGCACATCAAACGCCGAGACTCCCTTCCCTTCGCCTTCCCTTCCTGTCGCAAATTCCTCGAACACCTACAAGACGGAGACTTCGAGATCACTTCGACGTCTTGGAAGTTAAAAACAAACGCCCAGTCACTCGGCGTGTGGGAGAACCTGCCAAGAGTGGTCGAGAGACGTGCGTTCCATCCTCAGTACCGGCAGTAATGGCACTGAGTCACTTTACTTCCGCGCTTGAATAATCGGCCCTCGGTCTCGGTGCGGCGTGCCACCCGGTAAGCGCTTATCCCCGACGATAATTTTCAAAAAAAAAAAGGAAAGAGAAATCCGCTTCTGTTTACTACTCTTATCATGAGAATCCTTATGTGTGTGTGATTTTTTTTTTTTTTAATTATATATCACTGAGCGTTTCCCATAACACTGCCTAGTTGCGTGTCCTTATAATGAGCCCATAATTGGAATGAGTTGAACAGGAATGCATAAGTGAATAATATATTCATATTTTACCCTTGATGGCAACTCAAACTGTTATCTTAAAAACGGGATTAGATGCGAGACAGCTAGATCTGTTTTAGTGGAGGTCACAGTCAACAACCAATGTATTACGTCTATAAAATGTAATAGTGGGAAAGTGTTTATCGGTCCTACGTAAGGGAGAAAAGAAGAGAGAAAACAAGGGAGAAAGATAGAGAGAGAGTGAGAGAGATTTTGGGGGAAATGGGACAGAGGAAGAAACTGCGGGGGATTAAGAAATGAAAAGAATAGGGAAAGAGAAAAGGAGAAAGAATGAAATAAAAGAGGGAAGATAAGAAAAAGTTAATTGTTCATCCAGTTCTAATGAGAAAGGATAAAGACAGTTCCTGTGTTCTCTCTCCCTCGCTCTCTTCTCTTCTCTCTTCTCTCTTTCCTTCTCTTCTTTTCTCTCCTCTCTCTCTCTCTCTCTCTCTCTCTCTCTCTCTCTTTTCTTCACTCTCTCTTATATATATATATATATATATATATATATATATATATATATATATATATATATATATATATATATATTTATATATATATATATATAATATATATATATATATATATATATATATATATATATATATATATATATGTATGTATATATATATATATATATATATATATATATATATATATATATATATATACATATGTGTGTGTGTGTGTGTGTGTGTGTGTGTAAATAATTACATAAATATATGTACACACACACACACACACACACACACACA